CAGGGCGGGCGGGGGGCGGCTGCCTCACGTCCTTACCACACCCCCACCCCATCACGCAGCGGGTGCCGCCTCAGGCCTCACAGCCTCTCTCAGGTGGGCGGCGCAGAGGGATGAGGTGCGAACAATGGGAGAGGCCTTAGGGGTTTTTCAAAACTGCAAGTCATTGCGAAATCGATTTAGTAGGTTGTGACTAGCTTTTTGGTTTGGGGGTTTTTCTTGGGAGCAGGGGAGAAGTTTAAAATGAAATGAATGCAGTGCTGTGAAAGAGAAAAAATCAGAGTGCATCATACATTACAAGAGTGAGTATCTCTTCAAGTACCTATGTGCGTATGTACGTATGGTCAAGTTCTTAACGTGAACGCTATCTTAAAAATGCAGGTCTTGCTTAAAAAAGCTTTTTTAAGTTTTGGGTTGGAGACCTACGTTCTAGTGCCAGTATATTCTCTGAGTGCTGGGCTCCCTCAGTTCCACCTCACCTCGGCCTCACAGTCATGTACTATAAATTAATGTCCTGTGATATAAATTTGATATATAAAAATCTGTTGCATTTCCATACACTAATAATGAACTATCAGAAAAGGAAATGAAAAAATTTGCAATTGCATTGAAAAGAATAAGATACCTTGGAGATGAAAGATCTGTTCATTGAAAACTAAAGATATTGATGAAAAATTAAAGAAGATACAAATAAATCGAAAGATATTGCATGCTCATGGACTAAGATAATATTGTTAAAATGTCCATACTACCCAAAGCAATCTATAGATTCAATGCAATCCCTATTGAAATTCCAATGCCATTTTTAACAGAATCATCGACAAAAAAAAAAAAAAAATCCTAAAACTTGTATGGAACCGCAGAAGACCCCAGAGAGCAAAAGCAATTATAAGAAAAAACAAAACTAAAGGCATCATGTTCCCTTATAACAAACTATATTACAAAACTATATTATTATTAAACAGTATGGTATTGACATAGAAACAGACTTATAGGTCAATGGAACATATAGATTAATCCCAGAAATAAACCCATGCATATATGGTCATTTAATATATGACAATGGAGAAAGGATAGTGTCTTCAATAAATGGTGTTGGGAAAACTGGACAGCCACGTGTAAAACAATAAAACTGGACCACTACCTTCTACCATACACAAAAGTTAACTCAACATGCATTGAAGTTTTGAACATAAGACCTGAAATCTAATTCTAGAAGAAAACAAGTGGTAAGCCTCTTGCCAGTGTTCTTGGGAATAATTTTTTGGATCTGACACCAAAAGCAAAGGTAACAAAAGCAAAAAGAAAACAAGTGGGACTCCATTAAACTAAAGCTTTTGCACAGTGAAGGAAACCATCAACAAAATGAAAAGACAGTCTCCCGAATGGGAGAAATTTTGCAAGTCCTATCACTGATAAGGGGTTAATATTCAAAATATATAAGAACTCATACAACTCAACAGCAAGAAAAACAAAAAGTAAACAAAAAACAGGTACATGAAAAGGTGCTCAACATCATTAATCATCAGGGAAATACAAATCAAAATCACAATGAGATACCACTTCACACCTTTTAGTATAGATATTACCAAAAACACAAGAAATGGGAAGGAAATGACAAGGAAGTGAAGAAATGGGAATCTTTGTGCATTACTGGTGAGAATGTAAATTGGTGCAGCCACTACGGAAAAAAAATATGGAGGCTCCTCCAAAAATTAAAATTAGTACTATATGATTTAGCAATTCCACTTCTAGGTATTCATCTGAAGAAAACTACAACACTAACTCAAAAATATATACTTACTCCATATCCGCTGAAACATTATTTACAATAGCCAAGACATGGAAACAACTTAAGTGGCCACTGATGAATACATGAGTAAAGAAAATGTGGTACTTACACACAATGGAACGTTATTCAGCCACAAAAACAGAAAGGACTCATGCCATTGTGACAACATGAATGGAACTTGAGGGCATTATGCTAAGTGAAATAAGTCAGACAGAAGAAGAGAAATACCATATGATCTCACACATATGTGGACTCTAAAAATAACTTACAGCCCTGGCCAGTGTGGCTCAGTGGATTGAGTGCTGGCCTTCGAACCAAAGTGTCGCAGGGTCAATTCCCAGCCAGGGCACATGCCTGGGTTGCGGGCCCAGTCCTGAGTGGGGGGCACGTGAGAGGCAGCTACACATTGATATTGCTCTCCCTCTCTTTCTCTTTCCCTTCCCCTCTCTAAAAATAAATAAATAAAATCTTTAAAAAAATAACAAATAAACCAAGTTCATGGCTACAGAGAACAAATTGGTGGTTGCCACAAGCAGGGTGTGAGGGGTGAGCAAAACGGGTGAAAGGAGTCAAAAGCTATAAATTTCTAACTACAAAGTGGGCGAGTCCTGGGGACGCAACACGCAGCATGGTGACAACAGCTAGCGACAGTGTACTGCACCCCTGAGAGCAGCCAGGGGAGAGGATCTGGAAAGTTCTCGCCACAGGAAAAGAGAACCGTAATTATGTACGGTGACAGATTTTAACTGGGCTTACTGTGATGATCATTTTCAGAATACATAAAATACTGAATCGTATGTTGTGCACATGAAACTAACAATGTTGTATCAATTATACCTTAAAAAAAAATGATGTCCTGGGGGCACTGCTTTAAATATCTGAAAAGAAGTCAGTCTCCTTGGATAATGGGGTAAAAAAAAAAAAAGAAGAAACCCAAAAAAACAAAATAACGACCCTGTTATTACTTTAAAAAATACCTGTATCTGGCCATTCATGGCCAAGTACGTCACTCTGGTTGCCCAGAAGCCTTTCATTCCAGGAGCGGTCCATTCAGGCCGCATTTGGGACTTGGATTCTAACATTTTATGCTTCTGTGTCTCTCAGATCCCACAATTCTGTCTCAGCGACTGGTAGTTACCTACATCCTCTGAGGAACTTCATAAAATACATTGGGCCAATCCTGTCCTGGGAGGTTCATATTTTTGGATGGCTTTTCCAATGCTACCAGATTTCCCTTGAAAACATTAAACTTCCCACCTCTCTTGTATTTCTCACCTCTGTGCTCTTTTATTCTTAGAAATGACTGTTTTATTGTCATTGATTCCTACAGCACCGCCCCAGTTTATGATGCTTTTTTCTGATAGCTCCGGTACAATCATCTGGCTGAAGACTACCTATCAAATTTCAATCAAAAATCGAGCAAAGCCACTACGAGCAGTAGAATGCATTTTCAAAGTCGTAAATGCGGCTCACACTTAGTCATTTGGCCCAGTCCTGTAAAGTAATCAGGCCAGAATCCTTCAGAATTCTGCATTTCAGGATGAAGACTTCAAAGGTCTACCTTTCTTAATATCTTTGGAAAAGGATCTGTGTGAAGATAGAGTTGATTTGAAAGACAATATAATTTCTTCAGTTATTTACTTTCAGTACTGCATTGTACATCTTAACATTTAAAACTCAGGTAAGTTAAAATTCAGTGCGGAAGTGTTACAGTGGGTGTGGTGCCTGAATGTGCTATGTCAAAGTGCATTTTAGGTAACGAGCTTAAATGAATCCACGGCCGACTCCATCTTCCAGTTGCTCCAGAATCTCCAGAGTCTCCCGGCCCCTCCTCTCCTCTTACGCCCACATTTAACACATCATGAGTTCGGCCCCCTTCAAAATCATAACCCAGGCCCCAACGACCTGCCCCCGCTCCCACTCCCCCCAACATTTCACCCCCCTCCACCACCGCTTCTCAGCAGCAAGGCTGCCGAAGCCCGGCTGAGCTCCCTCCTCCCTTCTATAGCCTGTTCTCCCCAGAGCGGGCCCTGTGACCCGCTCGCCTCGGGCAGAGCACACCCCTTGTCCACTGGAAGCTCCGCCGGGGCTGCGCACCTCACACAGAGAGGAACCTAAGTCCTCTCAGTGGTCAGCATTTCCTGGCTCCCCACGTGCCCTCTAACTTCCTCTCCGTTACTCTCACTTCCATTTACCTCGCTCCAGCCGCACTGGCCTTTCTGCTGTTCCTCAAGCCCACCGGGTGTGAGCCAACCTCAGGGCCTTTGAACGAGCTGTTGCCTCCGCTCAGAAGCGTCCCCTCTTGACCTCTCCATGCTGAACCCAGCTCCCTCACCTCCTCCGGGAAGTCCGCCCTGGCTAACAGCAGCAGTCACTTTCCCCTTCCCCACCACTTCCCGTCTTGCTCACTTTCCCTGCCTTTTTTTTTCTTCATAACTATTCATCACCTTCTAACATAGTAAATACAGTCTTTATTTATTCTGTTGTTTATTGTGTTTCCTTATGCAAGAAGGTAAGGTCCATAAGACCTGGGGTCTTTGTTGTATGTTCAGAAAAGAAATTTATATTGATGTCATGGTTAGGTAAGAAAATTCCCTAGTATATATTCCATAGGTACAAGAATTAATATCAGTGAATCGGTGCCTTTTTTTTTTAAGTGATCTCTCACCTTTGTACCAAAACTTTCTGGATAGAGATTTCTATTTAAAAGTATCCCATACAATGGGTGTAGTTTTATCAGACATACGATAAGGAGCAATGTATCCGCAGCCATTTGGCAGGTGTGGGATGTAAATAGGTAGGTCGAGACTCAAAGCTTCCCAAGTCCCTCAGAGAAAGGAATCTAAGCAGGATTGTTTTGCTTTGTCCTGAATAATCCTAAAACAGATGTCAGAAGCTAAAAAACGGCATCTGCTGCTATGGAAACCACTATCACCGCAGCCCATTCGAGAGCCTGACCAATACAATAGATGATAGTCTTCCTATTGTTACCACCTGACCCTGCCCACCTTCACTCTAAAACCTTCTAGAAGGTACAGCGACTATATACTTATCAGCCTGACAAGAAAGTCTGGGAGAGACTAGCTCACACACATATCACCTTAAACATGGTCAAAATCCAGCAACATACAGGGACCGGCTCTTACATAATTTGCCATGTTCTTATGCATTCGAGCTCCACCTTCGTTACATACACATTTGTGTGTCTTACCTTAATGTTGCAGGCCTGCTCCATCAACCTTCTTGCATTTTCCTCTGCCCTGTATCTCTTTGGAAGCTGAACTCTGAAGAACTTTAAAGCACCTTCAAAATCAGCCTGCAGAAGATCTTCCTTGGAGGTCTGCAAAATAACCACCCAGAATAGTCACCACATTTTAGCCTGAATCATGACAAACATTGAAAAAAGAATTTCTATTGTCCATGATGCATTTTTACAGCTAGTATCTAGGCTAGATCTAAAAAACTTTAGAAAGAGATTTCTAACTTCTTTATTATAAGTTGGAATAAGTCATCATTAAATCCTTGGAGCAATAAAAGAATTAATTAACAGGTTAACATATTTAATTTATATCACCTAAAGACTTGAATGGTGGATCCTGGCAAACCTAACCAAGTTATAGCTCTGAGAGAAGAAAAATTAAAAGGGGAAAAAAATGAAACCCTGGGACTAACCTGTGGCTTTATGGGCATTTTAAAGATAGTATTACAAAGCTGGCTGAAGACACAGACAATGCAATCAAAGCACGTCGGAGTTACATAATAAACACCTAATTGGAGGATGGCTCTTTTGGCAGCTCAAGTGAGAAAATAAGAAATTGATCATGCACTGTAAAGAATGCTGTGGTCGCCCTGCCTGCCAGCTCCTGATCAGGGCATGTGGCTGGGCTGCAGGCTTGGTCCCCAGTAGGGGTGTGTGTGAGAAGCCACCGATCAATAGTTCCTGCTCACATGGATGTTTCTCTCCCACTCATTGCTCCTCCCTTCCCCTCTCTCTAAAAATCCATAAATAAACTCTTTAAAAAAAATGCTATGGTGACCAGAGGGAAGGGGATCAGGACGATAGTAAAGAGTAAAGGGGGCTAAATATATGGTGACAGAAGACAACACCCTAGAAATGGACACTTGAAACCTATATAATCTTATTAACCAATGTCTCCCAATAATTTAATTAAAAATAAAATAATGCCATGAGAAGTAAATGAAGCAAGCCACTCAACTACTCAACTTCTCGTGAAAACTGGTGTTTGCAAAATTTACTTCCTTAATAAATAACAACCACTTATAAATACATGCATGCCTAGAAAAAAGACTAGAAGGAAATGAAATAAAATGTTTCTCTGGATAGTGAGATTATGGTTGTATATCTTTTTCTTTGTATTTTCTACAGGAAAGATTTTATAATAAAAAATATACTAAGAATTTTAATAAACAACTATATGCCATTTTTGGCAAATATCATGATACAAATTATAGGTGCAGGCAGACTCAGTAACACAGAAGTATTCCAAAAAGAAATTGGATGCTTTGAGAGTCTGCTCTGAATTATCCAAAACTTCAATAATAAAATGGGGAAAAAAAAAACCCATGGTGGCTAGAAATCATAGAACTATGCACTAGTTCAAAATATCACGTTATTAAATTCAGGAGTAAAAGCTGATCAACCACAAAGGCCGCACTGAAAGCCGACAGGACGCTGGCGAAATCCCTGTTCGTGACAGGGTCTGAGTCGTTGCCAACTCCGCTCCGGCCCGGCCGCCGCCCCTCAGCCGAGCCACTGCGGTGACGGCCCAGAGGCGCCCCACTCCACTCATGCCCCGCCCAGCGCGCTCCCCTGAGAGCAGCCCCGCGGTGCTCCTTCAGATCCCGTCACCCTTCTGCGTGGGGCCCCCACGGGGCCTCCCCGAGCTCAGAATGGGACCGTGTTCACCACTGCCCACAGGACCCCTCGAAACCTGCGCCCGCCCTGCAGCCTGGCCGTGCCGTGCACCGCACCCTTCTTTGTGCTCAAGCCGCAGGCACACGGGCGTGCTGGCCACACCGCGGTCGTGCCTGTCCGCAGGCCGCCGCCCTTGCAGTGCTCTCTGCCCAGCTCTTCATGAGGACAGCGACGTTTTGTGGTCTAGAGCTCAGCCCAAATGGGAGATCGGAGTGAGGCCTTTTCCGAGCACTGAGATCTTCCCCTCAGCCCCTTGGTCATTCCCCACCCAGTCGATCAGCTTCCAGGTCTGCATCAGCTCCCTCCAGAGGAAAGGGGCCTTGCCCGTCCTGTCCGTCGCTGTGTCCAGAGCGACAAGACTGACACCCACAACACAGGAGGCACTCAGTGAAAATGGACCGACGGCAAGAAAATGAACCCTACTTTCATAGCTCTCCGCGCGTGTGTGTGTAGAGCGAGGGAGGGAAATTCTGAGACATTCTCAATTACCTTACAATGGCGGCAAAGCGAAAGTAAGCAACAGGGGTAACTGACCTGTTAACAGCCAGGGAGCCAGCTAACCGGACTGCTCACTCAGGAATGCCCGTGTGATGTGAACTCTGAATTAATCACTAAGCTCCAGGTGGCCGTATCTGCGATTATCTGAACGAGGGAACAGGAAGGTGCCTCCACTTGCTGTTTCTGTGTGAGCTTTCCGGACGGTGGCCCACCACCAACCCCAAAGCACAAACCCCGCCTCCTGACCCACTCTGGGCCTAATCCAGAACCAGCCCGCTTCGCCTTCTCCCGCCCGCTTCATCTGGAACCAATGTAAATTCTTCCAGAACAATCCACATCTTTCTCTCCCCTACTTGATGCCTTTTTTTTTTTTTTAAAGTCTGTCAACCCCACATGGTGAACACACTGCCTTTCCCACCTGGCGCTATGGCTGGCGGTTTAGACTTCATGTCCCAGGACCTGGTCTTTTTATCTTGCTGGTAATGGCCAAGAAACCCTTTCTTGTGAAAAGCCTTTTGGCAGGAGAAGTTAAAATTTTTGTTTAACAATACACACACTTATACACACATACATATCATTTTCTCTACCCCTTTCCTCTCCGTTTAAACAAAAACATGTAAAATAAAATAATATATTAATCCGCCCAGCAGGCACTTTCACAAGGGGCTTTGGGTCACACACTAGCCCTCAGAGAGCAGCTGGGCTAACACTGGCAGAGAGAGACCAAGCTCAGCGCATCTCCGACTTCCTTCCTCCCCCTTCAGTATGCAGACACGAGAGCAGCAAGTAAGTGGTGCAGAAAATGTTTCGCATAATATAGTGCTATCGACTCACCTAACTTACTTGGAAACGGCAGTTACTAGGGGCAACTTCAGCCCAAAGGACGGTCTTTCCCAGTAAAATAGCGACTGCTGAACCACTGCGCAGGCAGCGAGCGACCAGCCCCACCAGACGCTCACATTGCCAGTCCTCCTTCCCCTGCAGTGCTGCTTCTGGTGATCAGCTCTTGGGTGATTGGTGGGAAAATTCTAGATGGGCCTCTCCTGGAGTTTGTAGGAAAACAGGATCTGCAGCTTTCCTGGCTACTCAAAGCCCCTGGGGGCACCTCTGAGATGTTCCCGATGTTCCAGCGCCCCTGACCTTGGCTCCTGATAACACAGCCCCCAAGCGCTGGGGGGCAGTCCCCTGCCTGCACACAGCAGCTAATACTGCCCAAGGCCTCACTTCCAGTCCAGCCCCTGAGTTCATACAAAAGCAGAAAGATGGGGATTAAAGACGAGCAATCACAGATCCTGCGACAGCTGACGTCTGGTCAGGCCAGGATGGCGGCCACGGGACAGAGGTGCTGCGTGGGGGAGGCTCTGGTCTCCGGACAGGTGTGGCAAGGAGCTCCCCACCTGGGCGGGGGGAGCCTGGCCCAGGCTGAGGGTCTGGAAACCAGAACCCAGAGGGCCTGTAACTGTCCTTTCCAAGGCACTGCTTCTGTCAGTGATGTTCTGCACAGCGTGGCCTGTCCAACTTAGTTAAGCCCCAAAAGGAGGGAGCTCTGCCAGCCCTGGAGCAGGGAGGCTCATGGAGGCCAAGTGTGGAAATGGCACCTTACCCAACCCTCCGAACTCCGCCTCTAGGAAGTGCTCAGCAAACAAAGGCAACAAAGAATGAAGCCCACTCACTCCAGTCCCAGTTTGGGCTAACTCATGGGGGTGCACAGTCTCCACTGCTCTCCTGCCTTAAAAATGGGAGTCGCCTCGGCCTCAGAGGGTTGAGAATGAACTAAAGTAAGGCATGCAAGTGCGTTTTGTGTGCCCCAAAGCAAACATAAGGGATGAGAGGTTGGAAAGTTGTCTCAAATATGCTCAGATACTGATGTTTTAGTAGCTAAAAACAGAACTCTGCTCTCACTGACATTTTTAATTCCATAAAGCAGGCAGGCAAAGTTGCAAGAACATACATTAGTCTCATGTACTGAAACAAAGCTTACTTCACTGTGAATGAAAAAATATGCCAGAAGACAACTTCATGAGAACAAAAAAATATGCCTATAAGAAAAAAAAAACACAACTTGCTTGCCAGTGTCCTGGAAGAAAACCTATGGTCCCACTTCAACTCTGACGAATCTTGCCCCCCAGTTTTCTATCCTTAAGAGATGTCCGTAGTCGCTGAGTACCACTGCAAATGCTTTTGTATGTGTGGTGAGTAGAACTCTCCATTTTCTGGTGACTGTACCTGAGAAATTTTATTCTCTACAACTGAGGAATAGACACTTCTTGCTTTGCAAAGATATGGCTGCCTAAGAATTTATCAGAAAGTTCTTTGTTTTTTTAAAATACTTTTTCTTAAATCATAATTTTTATCTATATGTATATATGTCTACATAGTGGGGTCATTTTTTTTCTTACCGATTACATAATCATTATACTCAAAAAGGAAAATATTTTTTAAAAAGTCTAAGAGGCCTTACCACCCAGGGAGAAAATAATGAACATTTTGTTACATTGCTTATAATACACATGTTTTTCCTATCCCTAAAAACACGTCTCATGTATATTTAACAAAATCTGAATAAAATTGTATTCATTATTTTGTAAAATAGATATGCTTCACAAATGTCAAGCGTTGATGTAATATTAGTCTAAAATATAAATAGTGGTGCTTTCTATAAAACTAAAACATGGCTTCAGTCGCACATACTCTTATTAGTGAGCTGGCTATGGGGATGTGAACTTAACTAGTGGCTACAAGTAAGTTTACAACTGCATGAATTCTAATGTTCTACCCTGACGATGAAGGGAAGAGGAACACAGGACCTTGTGATATGATCCAGCCTTAAAGAACGCACCCCTAACAGGCACACTAGCATTTCAAGAACCAACCCAAGCGGCCGAAAGAGGTTGTACGGGCTTCTG